TACCTAAAAAGAATTGATCTTCTTTTGTAGGTCAATTACAAAGTCGGAGGAAATCATTGGGTTTTTGATAGTGGATGCACTCAACACATGACCGGTGATGCAAGAATGTTATAACTCAATCAATACCAATGATAATGATGGTTATGATAGTATCACATTTGGTGACAATGGCAAAGGCAAGATCAAGGGGCTTGGTAAGATTATAATATCCAATGACTTGAGCATTTCCAATGTGTTGCTAGTTGAGAGCTTGAACTTCAATTTGCTATCCGTGGCTCAATTGTGTGATCTTGGATTTTAGTGCATATTTGGAGTAGATGATGTAGAGATCATAAGTGTAGATGGCTCTAATTTGATCTTTAAAGGCTTTAGATATAAGAATCTATACTTGGTTGATTTCAATGCTAATGAAGCTCAATTGTCAACATGCTTGTTCACTAAGTCTAGCATGGGTTGGTTATGGCATAGAAGGCTTGGTCATGTTGGAATGAAACAATTGAATAGATTGGTTAAGCATGATCTAGTTAGAGGCTTGAAAGATGTGGTATTTGAGAAGGATAAGCTTTATAGCTCTTGTCAAGCCAGAAAATAGGTTGGAAACACCCATCCTAAGAAAAGTATGATGAGTACTAGCAAGGCAATTTGAGTTGTTACACATGGATTTATTTGGGCCAACACAATACACTACCATTGGTGGAAATAAATATGGCTTTGTGATAGTAGATGACTATATTATATACAATTGGGCATTCTTATCGACGTTGATAGGCTTCACAACACCGGATCCTCCCCCGAGCTCCATACCTTATGCGGTGAAGTGCACATGAGATAACCTAGCTCTGATACTACTTGTAAGATCACTAGTACGCATAGAGGGGGTGAATAGGCCTGTAAAAATTCAACTCAAACCGAAGTCAAATTCACCCGCGGTACTGCCGCTTCAAACAGCGGCACTGCCGCACCTACAGGAGATATTAGTTTACAAAATCTACCCAACGAAATTTAGATCGGGTAAATTTCTTAGCTTCCTGCAGGGTAGTAGATCATAGATCGACAGCTAAAAGTGGTGGGAACACCACACACAAGTAGATCAGCCTCAATCCTAGAAATCACCTCAACAACAACAAGTACATAAGTGTAGCAACACAAGCATAATATGACACAAGGATTTATCCCATGGTTTAGCTCACCACCAAGGCTTGCCTATGTCCACGTTGTTGAGGTATGCCACTAAGGCATTAGGGATTTGCAACCCTATCTCGTTCTCAAGTCAAGAGAGTAAACTCTTGAGATGAGGGGTGATTTTACTTGTTGTAAGAGGTGGTTATAAACCTCCTGGGCTGCCACATAAGTTGGCAAGCTCCACGAGCAACGCTCTAGCCGGCTAGGAGCCAAGCTCTAAGAGTAACAAACATAACCTTCGGCTAAAACGTGAACCAAGTGCTCTTTAGAATTTGGGAATCAATGGAGTTGCTCTCTAATCAAGTTGTGGACCCTTTTCCCTCAAGGATTGATGGAAAATCAATGGATTTGCTTGGGGGCTTTAGGTCAATAATAGAGTGAGAGAGAGAGAGCTCCTACTCTGATTTTGGGCATGCTGAAGTGAGGAAGAAGAGAGCAGATTGATTACCGTTGGAAAGGAAGGGAAAGGTATATATACCCCTAGCCTCAATGGTCACTTTAAATCACAGATAGCCGTTGGGGAGGAAAGGAAAAGATATATATACCTCCCAGCCCCCAACGGTCACTACACCCAAGGGATCAGGCGAGACGGAGCCCGCTGCCTTAAGGTTGGGTGAGGCACCCACGACCAAGGGGTTGGGTGAGACGGAGCCCGCGACCAAGGGGTCGGCGAGCCGGATCCCGCGACCTTGGGGTCGGGCGAGACGGAGCCCTTGACCTTAGGGTCGGGCGAGTCGAGCCCACGACCAAGGGGTCGGGCGAGACGAAGCCCGCACCCAAGAGGTTGGGTGAGTTGAAGCTCGCACCCAAAGGGGTCGGGCGAGTCGAGAGCTCACACCCCGTAAGACAGCAAGGGTAATAGTCAAGTGTAGACTGCCTTGGTTGTGAATCTGAGGATGCTTGTGGTTGTTTTAGCACTTGATAGCACATATTAGCTTAAGCATTGTGTCCCCCTTTATAGTATGGCTTTTTCTATACTCAAATTCAATATATAAAAGAATTTAAACCTCCTTTGAGTTTGAAGCCATCTACATATATAATTGGGGGCTCCTCCATTTCGTGTAGCATCCTCGAATATAAATTCCCTGCTTGTCATCTCGATGAATCTTATTAGTTCTTTAATTGTGTGGTCATTATCACAAAAACCCACAATTAAGGCTTGATTGCACTTTCAGCGCCTAGAGTCCGGTCAACACTTCGCCTCTCTACTCGCACAAACCCTGCCAACGTCAGCGTACGTCACTACCGACCGAACGCAGGCGGAGAGCCAAAATGTATTCTAGTGGATTGCTCGTAGCTTGTGGATCCCCATCTTGTGTTGGTTGTGCGGCATCCGATTACGGGTTAGGCGTGTGATGCCTATTAGCGTGTGAACCTCCAAGTGGGTGAATCGCTACAACAGGGACGTAGTTTGCCACCAAGCAAGTGAACATCAATGAAAAATCTTGTGTCTTCATGTCTCCGAGGAATTCATTTGGTATTCATTGTGATTGATTGATCATCTCTTGGCACGGCGGTATAACCCTCACTATCTCTCTTGTATTTACATTCTAGTATAGCTAAGTTCTTTAGTGTAACTAGTTTTGAGAGCTAGCTTGTGTCTTGTTAGTTTGGTTAATGAGTCTCTTTAGTTAGTCTTTGAGAGCTCACTAATTTAGAGAGTAGTGATCTAGCCCTTGTGTGAAATAGAGATCATAATAACTAGAATTGTGGATAAGTGGCTTGCATTTTTAGTAGGCTAGCGCAACACTTGCTTCGCCTCATAATTGTCTAACCATTTGGCTTAAGTGTTGTTGTAGAATTTTTTTATAGGCTATCCACCCCCTCTAGCCATTATGACCTTTCAGCTGGGCACGTGATGCCGAGCAATACCTTCCCGCATCACTTCTTAGCCATAACAGTCGCAACCACACAAATTTATTGTCGGTTCGTCATCACCACAAAATATATAGCAGGACACCTTTGTCGACTTCTTCCATCATCATCTCACCTCACGCATACTTGGTTTGATCGGTCGATTGTGCGTGATCCACTCGACTCATGTGACACATCCATTATTGAGTACTATGCACATGTTCTCCAAGCAACTAGGTTGTTGCTTTGTCGCCTCGTTGGGTCGCAACAACACTACCCGTGTGTCTCCTCACCGTTGCATCTACATCGTCGTCCCCTATGCATTAGCAACTATGCTACGCAATCTCTTGTGTGCCATCTGTCTGCACCTGGTCATTGTCATGCTGATTAGGTCTACATTGTTGAAATAGAGCGCTAGAACCACCGATAGTTGTTTACCTAGCATTATGATTGCTCTTTGTTGACTATGATTACATCATAAAATCTGACCGTTAACTCTCACAAAAATGACCAAGGCTTGATCATCAACTTAGTGATAGGGCTTATTTTTAACAAATTTCATTAGTTTTGGTGATTAGAGAATTGCTACCATAAAATGGAATATCTTTAGCGGACAACAATTTTCTTGAGGGGCAAAATTCAATTCGAAGTTATCATTACCTTAGGGGTTGAAAAAACCTCCAAAGAAATACATATTCTTGAGTACTAACTTAAACTGTCGAGATAATTCTACATTTCTTTAAGTGCTAGTCCGAACCGCGTGGACTTATTCTCAGTGGAAGATGTGTGATGGGCTTCCACATCTCAGGGGGTCATGGTGAAGCTAATAGAAGCACATGGATTCATGAGTCTACTAATCGAAACAAAAGTACTCAAGTGCATTGTACCCATCTTTTTTTGAACTCACATTGTACCCATCTTGGCACACCTTAGGCCGTTGATCAGCACATCACACCAGCGAAGATTGGACGGCACCGGGAGGAGTTCGTGCCACTCCTCTACCACACATACTACTTAGAAAAAAGCTCACCAAATACTCTTTTTAATCACGTCACGTACGCGAACGCGACGGCGTCGGCGCGGCGCGGCGGGCCGTGCCTGCCCTGCTGCCTGCCTGTAACGTCCGGCGGAGTTGCCGAGTTGGCTGGCCCTCGCTGGTCTGGTCCGACCAAACGCAGGATGGCGGATCCTAGTAGCAAATGATAAGAGCAGTTGCTGTTGTTGAAGCTCAACCAAATATTCTAAGGACGACGAGTGTGTCACCCCCTCACTGCTAGCTCACCCGCCCGGTCAACCGTACCAAGACGCCTGGGCGCGTCGTGCAGTCGCGGACAAGCTTAGCCCAGCCAAAACCACCGCACGGGTTTCTCAGATCGGTTTGCCGCTATCTTTGGCCTGTTCGCTGGGCTTATAAGCGTCAAAACCATACTCACCCGGGGGAAACGGAATGATACTTTGCCTCCTTGTTGCAGCATGTTGGAAACGCAAATATGCTGTCAGGGAAACCGTAAAAAACACACGCGCGCGTACACACGCACGCGCACGCCTGGATCGATCGAGCAGCGCGCGCGCAGCCCGTCTCGCAGCCACCACCTGACAAAGGAGCGCTGCAGCTCAACTCGATGTTTCCAAAAGCGAGCGAGGACAAAGCGGCATAGTGGAGACAGACGGGGCTTGGCCCGTGGCGGCGTGGGAACCATCAACGCCTTGTCGCGCGCTCACCTGCGGACAAAACCGGGTGACAAAGCCTGTCACCGGCGAGGCAAGTAGCGCGGCTGCCTATATAAGGCGCGCCGCACCGGCGGGTTCTGACGTCTCACCGCGTCGCAGCAGCAGCAGCAGCAGCACATTTTGAGCTTGCCCGTTCGTTTCGTTTCGTTCGTTCGGTGCTGCATTGCTGGAAGGTGCCGTACGTCGTTGAGCAGGGCGGACGGGACGACGAGCGGAGTGGCGGCAGGGGATTGATGGAGAGCAGCGGCATGATGCTGGTGAAGAGCGAGATCGAGAGCTGCTACCCGGAGCCGTCGTCGACGACGGCACCTGGCGTGGTCATCGGCGGCGCGCCGGAACGCGGCGAGGGGGGGCATCATCAGGTGGTGGTGAGGAGGAGGAGGAGGGAGCCGCCTCTGCTCGTGCCCATCGCCGGCGGCGGCATTGGCAAGCCGCTGCCCAGCATCACCGTCAAGAGGAGCTCCAGGTTCCGTGGGGTCAGCAGGTAGCTCCGCTAGCTCACCTCACACTCACATACAAGCAAACTAGCACGACTTCCTTCGAGTCTGCAAGTTTGGACATGGACAGCATGCATGCATGTACTTCTTGGTGATAAGAAAGCTTGTAGCTAAGCTGCAAGTGTTTGTTGCAGGCATCGATGGACAGGTCGTTTTGAGGCGCATCTGTGGGACAAGAACTCGTGGAATCCGACGCAGCGGAAGAAGGGCAAACAGGGTAGGTGTTCTCGATCTGGAACATCTATCAGGGGTTCCTTTCGGTTTCAGGAACAAAAAGTAATAAAATTAAGACAGCAGATGATCTGATCAAATGCTGGATATATAGGAGTACTTACGGTTGCTTGATCATCACGAACAGTCTATCTGGGAGCTTACGATGAGGAGGAGGCTGCTGCCAGAGCCTACGACCTTGCTGCTCTCAAGTACTGGGGGCCCACCACCTACACAAACTTCCCGGTATAGCCTTGGAACGTCTTCACTGTCCTGTAAAGCAAGTGACTAACTAGCTAGTGACACATCGATCCGGTTTGCAAGTGAACCACACTGAATTTTGGCATGTATTTTGCACATGACTGTGCTAGTGACTTGGCTGAGTTCGTATGTCTCTCAGGTCATGGACTATGAGAAGGAGCTGAAGATAATGGAGAACCTCACAAAGGAAGAGTACCTTGCATCACTGAGGAGGTGCTTATTGTCCCTGAAAAAAAAATCATTTTTAGAGGACTGAAACCATTACAGTTCAAATTCTGAAATAAGTTTATCTTGACCACAGGAAGAGCAGTGGCTTTTCAAGAGGAGTGTCCAAGTACAGAGGGGTTGCCAGGTATATTTCTGGCAGCAAACATAAAATGATTCAATGTCTCCATAAATTCATAGCCCCAAAGTTTCATCAGACAATGCACAAATGTTCCATTCAGACATCATCAGAACGGGAGATGGGAAGCTAGAATCGGGCGCGTTTTCGGGAACAAGTACCTCTACCTAGGAACATACAGTGAGCATAATTTTTACCTTCTCTCTAACAAAAACAAAGCACACAACTTGTCACCCAAACACCACTATCATCAGTTCATCACTGACAGTAATTAAAAAAAATAAACCTGCTCCGATCCAGGCACTCAAGAAGAGGCCGCCCGCGCATACGACATCGCGGCGATAGAGTACAAAGGCGTGAACGCGGTCACCAACTTCGACCTGAGGTCCTACATCACATGGCTGAAACCCAGCGGTGCTCCGGCCGCCTTCAACCCGGAGGCTCGCGTGATGCAGGCGGCTCCGGCCGACCAGCTCCTCCACCCGGCAGAGACGGCCCAGATGCTCCCACGTGGCAACCCGTTCCTGCTGGACCACGGCGCCGCGCCGCCGGGCGGCGGCGGCGGCCAGGACGCCTCCATGTCCATGGTGTCTCCCGGTGCCGGCAGCGGCATGAGGAGGAGAGGCTCCTCCACCGCGCTCAGCCTCCTGCTCAAGTCGTCCATGTTCAGGCAGCTGGTCGAGAAGAACTCCGACGCCGAGGAGGGCGTCAGGGACATGGAGGCTGCTGCGCCTGCTCATCTTGCTGGACCAGGAGACGCCTATGAGTACCACAACTTCCAGGGAGAGGCGCCTCCGGACATGTGCGATCTCTTCTCGTCAGGCGGCGGTGGCGGCCACGCACGGAATGCTGGGTTCCATGGAGAGATCGCCGCGTGCTACGATGATTGCGAGGGGTTGGATGGCTGGAATGGGTTTGGCAACATGTCTTCTCTGCAATAGTTTTGTTTGTGCAATGTAAATTTCAAAATTTCCAACTGCCAGTTTCCCTTTCACACGCTCCACTTGATCAGCAAAGGTTAATCCATGGAAAATCCAGGTGCATTTGCCTGCCAAATCACAGCCACCTGCATGTTGTCTGTTCGGTATCTTCTCTGCCAAATCACAGACTCAGCAAGCAACAAGAATTATCGTAAGGAGCTCGAGAACGACATCAAGATTGATCAATGAATCCATGCAGTAGAGCTTCAGCAACACGAGGCATGAGACAGTTGCGATTTGTATGAATAAAGAAGCGATCAATCAAATAGTTAAAATCTGAGAGATATTGGTGACTGGTGAGCCATACTGGACATTCTCCAAATTCAAGGGGTGAGCCAAACAACATCACCCAATAGTAGACAAATTGCATAATTTTCCACCAAGAGCCCGTGAATGGCAAAAATAGTCAGAAGCACGACGTAAATTGTAACAGAAACCTCTCAGGTAGTTTAGGGCACGGTAACAAGCAACGAATTGGGTTTGTGGGATCAGCACCAAAGTTGACAAGTTCAGTTTGCTGGACTCCAGCTGCTGATATATATATATATAAAAAAATAACCTAACATCCCAAAAGCAGGAGCTGGTGACCCTCAGGGCTTGAGGACCAGGGAGAGCCCAACCTTGGAGCTCTTCTCAATTGCCTTGGTGTCCACCTCCGCAGAGAGGGTGACCAATGACTTGGGCCTCCACTCGTGTTGGATCAGTGCACTTGCCATGCCGTAGTTGTTGAAGCGTGCCTTCACAGTGGTCAGGGGGTCCAGGGCATGCTGCGTCCCAAAGGTGATGGTGTTCCCATTGGTCGAGAAGCTGTGGCTCAGCTCTCCTCCAACAGCTGTGGTTGGACTCACCAAGTGGTAGTAGGAAGCAGCAATGTTGTCTCCTTTGTGGTTCCTGAAATGCAGAATCAGCTTAATGTCATAACCAGAATTATTTATGCCAGCCGCACATTTGTCACAACATGTGCTACTAAAAGATACATCCCGTGGAGGACAGTACAAGAAGCAGAAACAAGGTAAGAACTTTGACATGCACAATTTTTCTACTTTATAAATTCCCTAGAGATATCATTGGTGCTATGGGCAGATGTGATCCGTAGGACACAAATAACAGTTACAAACAGAAAATGTTAAGCATTGGAACAAACTACTTACAGAGTTGCTGCAGCAACAAAGTCAGAAGTAGTGTAGCTCAGTCCAGCATTGTATTTGGTCAAGTCCCCAGATGAAGTATCATAGGAAGCATCAGCGCCAACAGCAATAGTTTTAGTTCCAAAGACACCAGAAAGGTTAACAACAGGGTTTGCATTTAGGCCAACACTTGCAGCAACGCCAGCATGGTGGTGGAAGTACTGGAGTTCAGCCTAAAACCACAAAAGAGAAAAGAGATTGAATTGGAGTGTGAATCCAGTACAAAAGTTGCTTGACCTAGAAAAAGAAAGGAACATATACCTTTGCAGATTTCTGGTATGGGAAAGGAATGCATAAAATTCCCTTCAGGCCTGGTGTGCCCAGCTCGTGAACTGTGATTGTAGTTATCAACTGATGAAAAGGAAAACCATGTGTTATTTTACAAGAAAACAGTGCAACTGTTACGGGAAGATTGAAGTTAGTGAATGGTGTGGTAATAGACGAGTAATAACAGACATTTCCACTTACATTTGATTCTGAAGTTGCTTTCACATCCACAGTAACATTGTTGTGCTTCAGCTGGCTCTGGATTTCATTAAAGATAGCTTCATCTTTCCTTGTGCTTGCAGCAGTAATGGCCTACCACAGCATAAGTAACCATAATTAACACCGCTTTGCGGGAAAAATATCAGATTGTACAGAAATCACTATCCAAAAGAATAAGATTGACAAAAAACATCACAACGAAGACATAGATCTATATGAATTAGTACATAAATGCAGTTGCAGACTTGCAGCATGACAACTGACATGTGCAACTACCTGAAGCACCCACCAGTATATATAAGATAAAAATAATTAACAGTTATCTGACATCAAGCATACCCTAGTAAGGTGGCATATATAAGAAACTGGGGAGTGGACATGAAACTAAATAACTGGTCTATAGCTCATTCAAAGACATAGGAGTAGTTAGCAAAGGCAATCCACAATGTGTTCAAGTTCACTAATAAACAGCAGTAAGTGAATCAAACAAGTCAATGGCCAATGGACATGTCAGCTCAAGTTCCCTAATAAACAGCAGTAAGTAAATCAGGCAAGTCAATGGCCAAAGGGCATGTCACAGCTCAAGTGAATTTCCACCCCCACAGGGCATAGGCCCACATACATAAGCTAATTTAAGGATTGTCCAGCCAAATTCAAGCCCACATGCATCATAAGATTGCAACCACACCACAATATCTTGTTCTAAAAGTTGTACTCTATGTTACCAATCTTGTTCTAAAAAGTTGTACTCTATGTAACCACATAGATTGCACGGCATGCCCACTGAGTGATGACTCATGAGGAAATCCAGAACAAATTCACTGAAGCAGCAGAAAAAAAATTTAGTAAAACAAGCACTGGAAAGCAGAAGTAGCTTTCAAACTGCCACAACAGCTGCCATATCTACTGCATCACTAGGACACATACTGAACCACTGGTAAGCATTGCACTTGCATGGACTAAATCTACAGAAAAAAGATCCACCAAGAGTAAATGTGGCAAACACCCTCAATATTATCCATACAAAGATTAAACCGTCCACTAGTCGTCGCATGAGCTAATAGCCTGTTACTACATTCTCTACATCCAAATCTCAGGTTACTCAAGCCAATCCGCTCTAAATCTAAAGACAGAACCACCGGACAATGCAATATACATCGCCTCCCCGACCAGATCACGCCAAATACTTAAGCAAATATCCATGCAGAAACAAGGCAAAAAAAAATTTATAACTGCAGCATCAATATCAAACGCAGTACAGCTAAAGTCTGCCCCAAGTTGCCAACAACACGCACAAGCAGATCTTGCCTAGACAACTAAAATTGGGCCACGACAAAGTCCTTAGCGATCTAAACTCCACCGCCACCACGAAAAGCGTACCTACTAGCATCATGCCAAATCGAGGCCAAAAAGTAACAAGGCGATATCACAAAAACAAGCACCGGAGACTGGAAACTCACAGCTCCGTTGGCGGCGTAGGTGGTGAGCGTGAACTTCTGGTCCGTGTGGTAGTCCTTGTACAGGAGATCTGCGGACGCACGAGGAAAAAAGCACCGCGACAACAACCAAACAATATTAACAACCCACGAGCTGAAACAATTAAGCGCAAATGACAGAAGCGGAAGCCCAAATCCAAGAGGACGAACCTCTGGCCTTCTTCCCGATCTCGGAGTAGAGCCCGGGACCCGCGGCGGCCATGGCTGGCGGAGGGGGAGGCGGAGACGGCGCCGGCGGCGAGGAGGGGGAAGGGGAATTTTGGGCTGGGAGGCGGCGAAACGGGGTGGAAGAGGGCCGAGCCGACGAAGGCCCGCCGCTATTTATGAGAAGGAGGAGCTGTGTGCCTGTGTGTTGCTGACGTTTTCTTGAAGAGAAAGAAGCAGCTAGAAATATTTCTCTCTTCCCCCGGCAGGCGGCTGCATGTGTTGGTGCCGTTCTTTCTTGTCTTGAGCAAAAAGATGGTGCTCCCGTCTTTCGTTGGGTTTTTTGCTAGTTATTATAGGCTGTCATGTTTATCGGATTCCAGCATTTTTCAAAGGAAGGACTTAGGTCCCGTTTGGATGCTTTGAGTAATATATACTCCAACTAATAGCTTAGCTGCAGCAAATCGAAATATCACAGCTAATATAGTCCAACTAATAGCTTAGCTCCAACAAATTCAAACATCACAGCTAACAGTCCAATTACTGTTCGGCTGATGATTTATGCGGCTAATAAACCTGCTGAAGTTGATTTATTATGAGAGAAAAATATTATTCCATGACTAATAAGTTCGAGCGAATAGGGCAAATAACTCAAAATAAACTATTTAGCTATTAAAAAGCTATTAGCTGGTCCTTACTAAGTTAAGTACACTAACGAACAGCTAATAGCCCTACCAGTAAAAAGCTATTAGCTGATTTTATTCTGTTAGTAGCTAATAAATAGCGGTTTGTGCCATGAAAATTCAGCACCGCTAAAAAAGTTCAGAATTTATTTTTAGTGCATGGACAAAGGTTACTCATGACGTAGAAGCATTTACTAACTATACATGAAGAAAACATTATGGCCGTGCTTGTTGGTTGCCGGATGGAAGTGGTATATCGTATATTTGATGATGAAAAAAAATCGATCCACGGTGGCTAGATAGCTCCCGGGTATTCTGGACTTAAGAAGAAGATCTTTTCCCGCAGATCGAGAAAATCTTCGAATCCCTGCTCCACCCATACACAACGGCACCGTAGCTCCGTGAAATGAGCTGGTCACATAACTGTGCTTTGAATGTGGGGGTAGACAAATGAATTTTTCCCCCTTGTCACTTACGGCCGAAGCCACAAATAAAGACTAAGTCAATTAGAACTCGAACTCTAACCACCCTAAGGGAGAGGTACTGAGTCTGCACTCACCACTCGGATGAGAGAATGCATGCCGAGTAAAACTGTATTTTAGAAAAATGAGTTTTTGGTGAGTTTGCACGAGTGGGGGCAAAAAAAATATTGAGATGTTGTTTGGTTACGTACATGAGCCAATCGGATGCAATATAACACGATCATGCCATTGATGTGTGGACCCCACACCACATTCATGTATCCACCGAGTCTAGTTAGCGAGTGAAGCTCAAATTAAATGTATGAGCGGATATAACACCTGGACGTGCAAAAGCATAGGTGGATGCAGGCTGCTATAAGAGCATGGATAATAATTTCGCCAAAGTGCAAAAGCCAAGAATATAGCATGGGTGTAATATTTTAATATTTAATGCTTGAATGTGTATATTATCAATTGGGATTCATTGTAAACTTGAACGGGGATGGCTTGCGCAACAGGTATGCAGCCTTTTTATGGTGTGGCTTCGAGAGTTGATGAGGTGGTCCATGGCGAGTGAAGCGTAGATAACTAACCGGTGAAGAAAGTTCTCTCTCTGCCACATCAAATTTTTATGACGTGGATATCTTCTCAGCCAGCTGACTAGGCACTATAATACTTGCTCTAATGGAAGCAACTAATGCTCCTTCGAGAGTTGATACGAGTCCGTAGATAACTAGGTGAGAAAAAGTTCTATACAAAACGTTATGCATGTCCTCTCCAACCGGATGCTAGCCACGTGTCTGCCCTAACCAGACAAGTGGCTTCATGAGCTCTCTCTCTCCTCTCCGTGAAGGTTGATGGGCTGAATATCACCAATATCACCAGGTGGAATAGGAACATGGAGACACGTGGACGAGAGAGAGGCTGCACGGGTGAACCGGTCCGTGACGGAATTTTGCCTGGACTGGGCTGGGCTGGCAATTCGTTTTTGGGCGGTAAGTTTGTTTTTGGGCTAGTGGCAACGACCACTGCCTGCAGAGCAGTGCAGCCGCACAGCATATGCACTGTCCCGAGGGAAAAAGTCAATTTAACCTCAACTATTGCGTAAACTTGATTTACCTCTCTTAATTAGAAAATTAGGTTTTTAAACTCCTCCAACCATTGAAATCGTCCGATTTACCTTTGCGAGCTGTATTGAGAGTGATTTTGACTGACGTGATGCCACGATGCAGCGCCAAATCAGCCACGAGAGAGATAAAACCGGACTTTCACGAGAGAAAAACCGGACTTTCACAATAATTTAGGAAGGTCAGCTACTTTATACCAGGTCTATACCAGGTAAAGTGGTTTCAAATGGCAGAGGCAAGAGGGGGAAAAGAGGCCGCAGGAGTAAACATTGCTATACCAGGACAGCAAGACGCATTGACAGCAGGATCACATTGCATTAGCATGGTGCCAAGGTCAAGTCGCTGACATCAACACACCATCCAGCAAGCCCAGCGGACACTCTAGGAACACAAACATCATTCCAGCGCCACTGCATCTCCTAATGGCATCAATGTGGAGCAAATCTCTTCATTGTTCCACATTGGCGTTAGCTCGGCAATGTCATTAATTGTGTCGCTACACAAAACAAACGAGCATTACAAATATTCAACCTGAAGCACAGAATACTATTCAACACAGAAACAGCTCGCCCTCCACCACTCTACTGGCAACATTATGGGATCTCATCGTTGGCTAACCCTTTTCATCAGGTCTATCATTTAGTAATAATAACAAGTACAAAAATGCATTCCTGCCACCAATTGGACACGTATGCCAAACATCACAGATAGCACCCAAGTCATCCACGTCCAACCAGATGCCACACCACCAAAATTACAGCACTTGAGCAGCAGTGTTCAACTTCTCTGCGATGCTGATTTGTGTCCTTGTGATGCTTGACAGGTATACCAGCGCAAGGTTATCCTGTGGGGTCAGTAATTATTAACTCATCAGCAAGCAAAGCAAGGTGGCCGTCCTACACTACCTACACAGACATCAAGAGGCACAAGTAATTTACCTGAATCTTGTCATTGAAAAGCTTATCGAAAGCAGCTGGGGACAACTTTGGCATTGAAGCAACAGAATCAGAGATGAACCTTCCAATTCTGTTATCAGGTGCCACGCGTCCTTCCTACAATGTCATAGAGAGATAATTGACACCTGCATCCGAATAAATCAAAATAAAATAGGAAACAGTTGCATGAGAGATTCTTACCACAACATCATCGACATATTTGTAGATCTCATCAATAAGAATGTAAAGCTTCTCCATTGAGGACTCCATTCCTTCCAGATCATTGGGGAGCTTCTCTACCATGGTAGATTTCAGGATCTCGACTGTAACAGAAGGTAGTAATTGTGATGATAGTTTCAAATGTTCTGCTACTAAAATTGAGACTGCAGCAGCGACACTATGGTTCTGACAAACAGTAGCTAATAAAATACGCCAATGGAAACACAAACATTATTGCGATCAAACTACAGCCGCGACTATTCATGAGTAGTTCAACAAAGTAATTGAAAGACTAACTAATACAAGTGTAAATGAAATTTTCACCAAACAGCAGGTAAAAATTTGTTATTCACTGGTAATTAAATCAATACATATAAGAACATAAACGAATTTAACATTGCAAGTACTGGAAGGCTACAGCTAGCAGAGTTTATGGGTTCATTCATATTTCAATGTAGTAAGTTAATTCTTCTATGCCATTTACATATTGTTTGAAGTGTTTCGATAATTCAAAGTTCATTTCCAGTAAACCAAAACAATCATCCATATATAATACACGATGAATTAGCAATCAGGAAAGTGACACATACATCCAGCCTTTTCTGCCTCGATCATCCTTAGATCCAGAGGGATTTCCTGAAATTGCGCAGCGAGGTGCCTATCTCCGAGGGACAGGTTGGATGAGATGTAGGCTTTGATGGAAGCCTCCCCCCTAGTGAAGCCAGTGTCGACTGTAAGATGGATGGGGTTTTGTACTTCCCTTGAATAGAACTCATGGATGAGCGTACTTCCCCCAGAAACACCAAATCCAGTTGAGAACCTACAAACAGACAGTAGATAGGTAACAAACAGGTTTGAACAGTTTAGTAAGGATACTTGGTAAATTAATCCCAGACTTTTCAAAGTGACTTTTCTAGTGTTTGGGAATGTGCTTTCGACGATATCAAACCAAGTAACCAACAGACACAGAATATAGCTCTGAGCCCATCAATTTTTCTGAAGCAAAAACACGGAACTAATTACTCTAGAGCTATTTTGTTCACAATGCAATAAAAAAGACAATAGTTGTAGCTGCTAGCAACAAGATGAGTGGTGCATTCGGTTAAAAAAATGACTGCATCCACTAAAACTAACTAATTCAGCTGAAAAACAAAAATACTATGTATTGGGGATTCAGCTGTTGCATATAAATGGAGTTTGCAAAAAATGCCCAATTTCACGCTATGGATGTACTGTGTGAGGCCAGGGGATGGTTGCTCACCATCCGACGATGACTTCCTTGGGGTTCACCTTCTGGTGCGAGGCGTACATGTTATGGTGGTAGTCGATGTCGATGGCGACCTGCATCACCCCCCAGAATCAGCAAGTAACCCAATGCGAACGAACGAACGAACGAAATCAGTGAGTTGGTTGGAGATGTGATCTGAACCGACCTGGTCGGCCGACTCGCTGTGGGGGACAACGTAGGAGTTGCGGACGTGGACGGTGCCGTCGGGGAGGAGGGAGCCGAGGAGTGTGCCGATGACGCGGTCTGCCTGGTCCGGGCGCCGCACGTAGCTGTCGCAGACGTTGAAGAGCACCACCGCCTCCACCCGCGCCGACGACGGCGGCGAAGACGCCGAGGAGGGAGAAGGGAAGAGGAGAGCTGGGGACGTCGCCATGGCCGAGTCGGAGGAGGGGAGGCTTGGGCGGCGGCGGCGGCGACGAAGAGAGAAGGGGCCAAGGGTGTAGCGGGCTAGGGTTTCCTTTCTTTCCTCCTCGTCTCCTCTCTTCTTCTTGTCTCGTCGCCGAGGAAAAGGCTGGGCCTTAGAGAACTTAACTTAGTGACGGACCGGCCCACCTAACCTGTGTCAGGCCCACTAGGGCTGTGGCCAACCAGGGCATTCGGCCCGTCTGGGGAGGGATACGCGACGCGAAACGGCTGGGCGTCCAGATCCAGCGGCCTCACCGTCACCACCCGCACCACACACGAGCACACGCGACGACTGACAAGGCGAGGCGAGCACTCGGCGGCGATGGGCGGCGGCGGCGCACATGGCGGCACAACCTACAAGGGGTACACCATCCCGCACAACAAGCGCTGGCACACCGTCGCCGGGAAGGGCCTCTGCGCTGTGATGTGGTACGCATGCGCGCCCCCTTGCTCCCGTTTCCATCCCACCACTCCGATCCGTCCATTTTCTCCGAATCCGGTAGCTTCCCTCCGATTCAAGGCTGCCTGCCTGGACGCCTCGCTGCCTTCCTCAGACTGAACGCCGCGGCGCGTGGGATTCGCCCTCGCCGGTAGGCTTCCGCACGGGTAGATCAGGAAATGCTGGGAATTGTTCTTTTTAATGGATTGTTCATCATAAATTGTGCGATTGGGTTGGGGTTAGAGTTAGACGCAGCCATTCTGTTTGTGCGCAACGTCGCAAACTACAGGCGCAACCTGCGTAGCGAAATCCAATTTGGGAATGTGGAAATGGAGCTGGCTTGCTGCCGTTCACCTTATCCCGTTTCGGTAGGACTGTCGACTGGCTGCTGCATCCGGGAGCCGCAAGAACTGCAGTGATGGTCATCGCTGCAACCGTGCTCACCTCAACCATTGCGAGATTAGGAAGGTCGAATCGGACTTTCTTCATGCTTCAGGCTCTTGGGTAAATCTGATGGGAACTTCTAACATCCTTTGATGGCTTTATGTCCCTGTTCTAGTTACAACATGTGTGGCAACAACCTTCAATTCTTGTTTCATCTTCACATAAAATGTGTTCATTGGGTTCATTTCATTGTTTTCGCAACCCTAGCCAGTTGAACAAAACATATTCTCAGGTTTGGGACTGTCTACATTAAGAAAAATTGATCTCTGAGTGTGTCAGCAGTTAGTAACTTTGAAAAGGTTGCTATGGCTTGCGCGTCTGATATTTTATCCTGACCATTTTTTGCATCTTCATTGACCCGAGTTATGAGAAACCATAGTAAGCTCTGAAATTTTCTTTAACACGGTAACTGCCCAATCATGCTCTAGAAATCTTCTGTTGAGCCCCTCCCCATTTCTGTGAGATATGGGTCATTTAGACAGTCACTAACTCTTGTTGAGCTCCTGTTACCGTGTGAACATAGATGCATTAAACAAAAAAACTTTGAGCTGCCGTTGTTTTCAAGTTGGACCTCAGTCATTGCTGCAGCTGTGCATACCGGAACCATCTTTGCGACATTACAAAGGCAGAATCCGGCTTTTCATGCTTGACTAGCTTGAGGCTCTTTGGTAATTTGATAGGACTTTCTACTTACAACATGTTTGGGAACGACCTTCAACTCTCGTTTCATCTTCACGTCAGATGAGTTTGATTCAAGTCGTTTTGTTCCTTTTGCAACCCTAGCCATTTGAACAAAACATATTCCCTGGTTTGGGACTATGTCTACCGTATGAAATTTTGATCTCTGAGCATGTGAGCTGTTAACTTTGAAAAGGAGTTTGCAGTTGACGTTTATATTGACCACTTTGCATCTCCGTTGACCCGGTTTTGAGAAACCAAATAGAAAAGACCTATGATTTTTTTTTAACATGGAAAGTTGGAAACTACCTCATCAAGCACTGTTTTCACAAAGCATGGTCTGCAGAAATGCATGTTGCATGATATTGAAGTCTCCAGTTGAGCTTCCCCCTTTCCGTGGGCTGCAGGTCATTTGGACAGTTACTAACTCTTTGTTGGGCTTCTAACCTGATCATGTGAGAATAGATGCATTAACCTGATTAGAAAAAGTTGAGCTAACTTTGTTTTCAAGCTGGAGCTCAGGATTTTTAATGACATATTTCTTCTGAAATTCTAAGTGTACACGAGGACAATTAGTTATTTCAGATATGTTTAGACTTCAGAGTTTGGACCTACAGTTGTGATTGAGGCATGTTTTCACAAGCATAACCAATTGTGCTGCCTGCAGGTTCTGGGTCTTCTACAGGGCTAAGCAGGACGGTGCCACGCTCTTGGTAATATTCTGTTTACCAACCCCGACGCTACACTTAATCTTGGTTTACTTGAATACAAGTTAAATAAGTGAAATGGTTTCAGGGTTTGCGTCATCCTTGGGATGGGCATGATGACCACTCTCATGGTCATGGACATGGGCATGAGGTAGTACCATCTGATCCCTTCTATTTTACTTGTCATTATAGAATGCATTCTTTTAGCTTGTTTTGTTAATGAATTTCTGCTTAACTCCTGTCAAATTGTAATCTTCTTTTCATGTTACATTTGATGGATTTGATATCTTCCCATTAGTTTTTCTAGTTTATTTTTCATGTATTATACTTCTGAGAGTTTCCTAAGACGATACGAAGAAATTATGCCTGGTGACCAAAATATCTGTTTCCGCATGCAAATCTCAGTTTGTGGCTGGTGGTGAGAAAGACATATGTTTCACGTTATGAGCGTTGCATAATCATTTTATTGTATTATAGTATGGTGTTTTAATTGGTTATCACATCATAAATTATAGTGTGCTTTGCTTTGGGATACCAAATAGTTGATATTTCGTCTTGTCAACTACTTGATGAATTGATGAACTAGTTGATCATCTTAGCTTGTTCTTGGTTGTGTGAACGTACTTGTTTTTCCTTTTGTTTGCATTGGGGCAGTGTGACTGATAATTCCCAGATATTAACAAGTGTCTTTATTTGCCGTTTTTGCTGATATCGTGCATGTTTGAGGATCTATACTCTCTAGCAGTAAACTGGTGTATACTGGCAATTAATCCAAAACTGCAGGAAACAAAGAATCATTTGCTTACATTGAACCACTATACTATTATGGTCTTATTTAAAAGAAATAAAGCAGCAAACAGGGAATTAAAAGTCCATGTGAACTCATGGGTTTCTTATTATTTCATGTAGGCATCATTGTCGTCGTCTTCACATTAAGTTCCCTACTCGCGGCTGACGGTGATTCAATGCTTGGCATGTTCCAACAACTAAAGATTGAGTTAATAAATTCTACCATCCTGCATGGGACTCATGTTGTTTGCGACTTGTTTAGCACAAACTGGTTTTGTTACGATTGTGCTTATGTATTTGATTTGCAGCTTCAGTTCAAATGTTGTGGAAAAGAATCTGGTGTATGTTGATGTTCCTTGTGATCTGTAGCTCAGTACATTGCTCTGCTTCGAATCACCCTTAAGAAAATATATACTATCATCAGAAACAACACGTATGCTGTTGCTTTCGGTTGGTGCGTGTATTCCTTTGCTTCAGGCATGGCGTCGTACGTGAAGCTACTGGTACAGTACTTCTTGCAGTCACAATGTACTGTACGGTACTGTAATCGACTAACCTGGAAATTCCGATCCGGCACCAACACTGTCGAAGTCGACCTCATCTGGGCCTAAGCTTCAGGGCAGTCACAATAAAAAAAATGTAGCTTGTGAAATTGCAAGCCCTGGTTCATCGATCTTCCTGCATCGTCTAATCTGCATCCATGGGATGATCGAGCTCCCCTACCATTGAGCTGGTAGGCTCCAAGAGTTTAGACAGACAAGCACTGCAGATAGACATGGGGATCCAAATTGTTGTTGCCAAGGTCATCTAAAAGTCGGGCCTGTTTGGATGAGCTAGTGGATGGAAAATTAGCTCAAATCGGCTAAGGTTGGCTAACAACTACATGAAGACTTGGACAAAAAATTAGCTCATCTATTAGCCTTTTATTTTAATACACTAGATCTAATTTTAGCTAGTTTTTAGGTAGATAGCAATTAGCTCTTACATCAAACACAAATGGGAGGATTACAAGTCGTTTTGGAACGGAGGGAGTAGGATGGCATCACCTGTGGCCATTGATATGTGTTTAATCTCGAGTGTTACTTGGAACAACAGCTGGGCCAGCCTTCACTGTGTATAGTGGCTCTGTCTTACTTTTCATTGCAGTCCAAACTTTCAAGGGACGGCTCTCGATCGATTGTCATGCATTTGAATTTTGAAGCAACCCGAGGCTTCTACTTTGATAGATCACATGATACATGGTTCCTTTTAGCAAGCCAGCGTTGTATTGCATGACACCCAGATGAAGAAATCTGGAAAAGAATACTACTGCTTGAGGACTATCAGCCCGTTCAGCAGGCTGGCTGGGGTTGGGGCTGGACCAGCCAGCCCAGCCAGCCAATTCAGTCTCCAGCCATAGCCAGCATCCTCCAGCCAGCAGCAAATGTGCAGGCGTTCAAAAATTGGCGCCAACCAATTGTTATTCATGCTGATTTTAAACTTTCAAATTCAAACTACCATGCATTTCTAGATCATGCTGTTTTATAGTTTCAACCAAGAATTTGAACCAATAATTTACAGTTTGCAACTCAAGCGCTGGAACAGTTTCTCACGTAATGAGGCTACATGCCCGTCAGGTCCAATGTTTAAACAGATCAACAGGGACTGAGGTCATCCAAGAAAACATATGAAAGAATTATTTGTTCTGGGAACAAAGGCCACCAAAGATAGATTTTACATCGGCTACAATAAATACAAATGCTGGGACGAGCTCAATCTTCCTCCTCATGAATCAGAGCGAAGGAGAATGGGGCGAACTTGTAACCATCGCCTTCATAGAACTTGTTCTGGAACTCCACCCGGTGAAGCCGCAGCGCGTGAAGGAATGCACTCCGGGTCTCCATAAAAAGCAAGACACCCGCCGTGGCAAAGACGAAGACGACGCCACCAATAATAAGGGCGAAATCCAAGGTACAGACACCAAAGCAAGCAAAAGTAGAACAAGCTGCATTTCAAAAGGCGAATGGTTAGGCATGATAGACCACTAAACAACTGGTTCTCAGCAGTGCTTGAAACTGATGACGACAAATCACAGTAAGTAAAGTACATGCTCATTACTTATTTGTATGCACGAAGATGCACAGTCAGTACCTGTTGAAGCTGTCGCAAGGCATCAAAGGCACCAATTCCTGCACCTGGAACCACACCAGGATTGGCCCGACCACTTGGAACACCCTTTCAGAAATTTAGTATCAAAAAAGGTAATAACTAATATTAAGGAAAGGGAACACTGCTTTCAAAACAAACATGGATAAATGTCAGGTAACTACAATTAGCCTTTCCTATTGTAGAAATCAGCCTTTGCTTCACGGCCATCCATATCTACGATGGCACAAACATTAATTGTTGTTTCGCCTTTCCTATTGTAGAAATCAGCCTTTGCTTCACGGTTAACCTCAACCTTTATGTGCGTGCCATCTATAGCACCTATGCATCCATCAAACCATGGTGAATGTGCAGCAAGTTTGTGGCTTACACGTGCGTAGTTTCCATCTGCTGGCACTAGGACAGCATTTGCCCACTGGTACATTACCTCTGCAACTATTGTAATCTTCCTGCTAACTGTATCTAAAGACCTTTCAAACCTATCCTTGCACTCTCTACTAGCCGATTGGTGGGCACATGTCTAGATGTACATGCCTAGAGCTTCTACCTGTGGCAGAACCTCCTAATTATTTGGGCCAACATGCACCTATCACTGTCCAACGACCTCGGCAACTATGCATATGTTCCAGGTAACTTAAGAAGACTGTCGGGTGTCCTCAGAGAACCCCGAATCATCCACGATTTCCGAGCAGGATCACATTACAGAGTCATTGCAGTATTACAACATTTATTCAAATATCTACACCAGAGTAAATCAGCGGAAGTCTTATCATAACTTAGTTTACAAAATGGTAGTTTCAAACCTTACAACTAAGTTGGATAATTATTACAAAACGAAGTAGTGGAGTGGTATTATAACATAATACAAACACACAAATAGATTGCCCTGCCCAAGGGCCACGTATTTACTTATCGTCATCGCATTGAACAACGGTCATGCAGCACGGTCCAAAGCAGACCTGCTCATGAGGCTCACCTGCAACAAGGGTCAATGAACCCTGAGTACAAAAGTACTCAACAAGACTTAACCGAAATAGAAACTGATAGAACTCAGGAATGCAGGCTCAGGGATTCAAGGTATGACTTTAGCAATAATCAAAGTTCTTTTGCGTAAAAGCTCTTTAACAAAATTCTTTACTTCAACATATAAAACTTTATAAGAAGCACATATGAATTTGCTATGATCCGTAAAGAGATCATGAACTTCATATCAAACTCTTCTCAAACCTTACTCAAGTTCTAGTTATTAAACTACGATGATGAACAGAGAGTTGAGTCTCCATAACCGAGGAGCAACGACGATTCGAACCGATTATAACCCAGCTGGGAATTCCAGACCACATGACATATGTAGGTCCCCGACCTACATATACCAACCTACCCTCAGGTTCTCTAAAACAAGAACGGGTCCACGCCACCCGAGAATACAGTACTCCACCAATCCAGCCCATTGCCACGGGGGTGCACGCTATTCCCGCCATCTCTCCACTCCTAGTGCGCGAGTAGCCATTCTCGTAATAGAATCGCCAAGTTAAGGCTTACCAGAGTATGTGGTTAGTACTACAAAGTCTCATCTCACGCAGTTCAACAACGGACGGACCTTAATCGACACAGGTGGAAAGAACCCGCTCACAAGACCTCCACGTCTTGTGGCTCTCACATACCGAGTCTGCCCGGTATAGATTTATTACTCCACATGCTCATATTTCATGATCACATAAGTAACCAAGAGTAACCAGAGATCCATTTAAATCTCACAAGTGACAGGTAATCACCCGACTTTTATCGGTCTAAGCATGGCTAAGCATAACTAGTCATTTACGAAGTAAAACTGGTAACAAGGTAGATATGGGAAAACAAGGTTGGTAATGCACCAATTAGGTTTTCACTTAACTCCTAATCACTTAATGCAGTAAAGAAAAGCAAAAGCGAAATCAATTTATAAAACACAAGGTAGGTTTAAATGCATCCGGGGCTTGCCTTGATTCACGAAAAAGTCTGGTTCCGGAGTCGTTCCACAAATATCAAATCCGACCTCAACAGGCGGATTAACTTCCTCCACAACTTGATTAACTACCACGTGCTCACCTTTGTTCACTACACGTAGTAACAATACCATGCTTAACATGATGCGAGATACAAAATATGATGCTCGATGATAGATGCAAAATTAACAACTTGAATACAACTTTCCTTCGCAGTACAGTTACAAGTCAAATTAACTAAACCTTTTTTGTAATACTTACATCAATTGCCGAAGATCATTACCAACTAATGACCCTAGGTCATCACTCAATCCAAAATTCAATCAAAACCTAAATCATTAAAGGTTACTATTTGCTTTTATGAATTAATTATTTAATTCAAAATTATGAAATAATCAACTTGTTTCAATTGAGCTCAAAATTTTTGTAAAGGTTCATCACATGATAACTAAGTGGCAAAACAATTTTCATAATTTTTGGATAATTATTTAAGCCTAGAAAAATCATGGAAACTCATTTATTAATTAATCGAGCAATTTTTATCACATTCAAAAAGTACTGAAAAACAACATTTCATATTTTTCTAAATAATATATATCACAGAGAGGTCACACAAAAATTTTCATAATTTTTGGAGCTCTAAATAAATCTACACAAAAATAACAAAAACATACACTATTCATTCAAATCTGAAAAACATAAAATTCATTTTCAAATCATCCGCTCACTGACAACCCGACCCCACATGTCATCCCCTACCTCCCGCGCTGACTCCATCGACACGCGCGTTGACCGGCGATTTCTCGCCGCCGGTGGGATCAACGGCGACGTCGATAGTACCAATATGATCACAAATGCAAGGCGCATCAATTGGTGTCACAAATTGCATCGATTACTGCACCAATCGAGTACGACGCCGGCCATGGCGGACATGGCGGCGCGGCTGCGCTACACCGGCGACATGAGACCGGTAGAGCTTAAACAATTAGCACGAGAAGGTTCAGTAGCTCACTCCTGAAAGCTCTAGTTTGGTTTTGGTAAATTGATGAAACCCTAAGTGCTAACCTAGTTCATCAAGTGATCATGAGATAGGTAGCACACTTCAAGTAGAGAAGCAAATGAAGATCATAACATGACAATGGTGATAGCATGGAGATGATCAAGGGCTTAAACTTGAAGAGAAGAAAGAGAAAAACAAAAAGCTCAAGGCAAAGGTATAACTTGTAGGAGCTATTTTAT